GTATTCGGGATATAGAACACCAGCACAACTTGTTGGCTAAATTGGTGGTCTCAAACTCAAATTGCATGTGGGCCAGATGCGCGATCTAAAAGGAGATGACGGGCTAGAATTATTTTTTTAACAAAAAGAAAAATTTGGAGACAGTTTAAATTTTAGTCACTAGATATTTATGAAAGCATGCATAAAAATTAAGAAAAATATTGTTAAAGAAAAACTAACTGTCAATTAGCATGCGAATCTGAATCATTTGCTTAAAATCTAATGATGTAGAACATTAAGATGCAATTTGCTAAAATATTATCTAAAATCATGTTATTAGATTGTAATTAATAATTGAATATCCTACTTCCTTTTTGTGGTATAGTGATGTATGTGGTATAGTGATGTTTGTGGTATGAAGCTGAAATAGTGGATTCAGTTCTCAATAAAATCACAGCGAATTTTTTACGAATTCCGAACTAAAACTTTTAATGTCTTTAAAAGATAATGCTACCTCTTACCATCGAATTAACAGCTATGTATAGGGGAAGGCAATTAATGCAAGGTCTTGATAATTTTATCTCATTTATTGCAACCACAGATTATTCTGAAATTTATTTGGAATTTCTTTTTAATCGAAACAATTTTTTTTATGAAAGTTGTCTGAAGTAAAATTTGGTGCCAATATTCTACAACGCATCTTGAAAATATGTATTCTGATCATGTAATCATATTTTAAAAATTAACTTCAGTTCCAAATTTAATAACTTATATATAGTTTTTAAAAAGTTTTATAGAAAACTAAAAACTGTTCATTATCTTAAAATAATACGAATGTTTAAAAATTTATAAAAGAAAGAATGGCTCCTAATTAAACAATTAACTAATAAAAATTTAAAATGCCTTTTCAAACCACCTCTTCCTTTTCCGTCCGAATTCTGCCTATAAACGAATGATTATTCATTGGTTTAAAGTTTAAGTTGCTAAAAGCTAATGAAGTTTTAAATTTTTTTATGTTAGTTTAAAGAAAGTAAAGTTTTTATGTTAGTTTAAAGAAAGTAAAGTTTTTATGTTAGTTTAAAGAAAGTCATTTGAAAGCAAAGTAGTTACCCATGCTAAACTTATGACGCTGCAGGGTGATTGCTGTCGGATTGCTAAATCTTTTTGTAGGGATTCTCAACCAGGGTACATTTCATAGTTTCAAGATAGGTATGTGGTCAAACTTTTGTTTATCTATTAATTATTAAGTTTTAGTTTATAAATATAAAAATCTAGTTTGATTCAAATTTAGGTATTTATCAACAATTTATAAACATTTTCTTCTTTAATTTATAAAATATATTGAAATAGTATAAATTTAAATAAACGTATATGTAATTTTTGAGTTTTGAAAAGGGAAGGGGGATGATCGCTTAACAGTTCTGAAAGTGTTGCATGGAACAAGAAACCTTCAGAACCACGGCCCACCAGCGGCCGAGCGGTAAAGTCGCTGAACACTGGTAGTTCGGTCCGAGGTTCGAATCCCGCGAACGGGCTGGCTGCATGGGCGTTTTCGTGGTTTTCCCCATGTGTAACGTGTATACGAGCCAGTTTCCCTTAGAAAGTCCTCCACGAAAGGCATCCCTCCCCTTAGGCAGATAGCCCTAGTGTGCTTTGCCATAATTAAATACACCACACCACTTCAGAACCACTGCGCTAAAGCAAAAATAAAGCTACCTCCTAAATGAATTCAAAAACGGTAATATTTTCCAGATCTCAATCCAGTTGAAAAAAATTGGATGATATTGAAAGAGAAAGTCAGTTTAATTAATACAATCAGTAATCGGAAGAGACATAATTTAGTAATTTAATATAATAAGATAACTGAATCGCTCATTTCATTCTGTTATCTCATACAATGAATGATGTGTTATGAATGATCTTTACAAATTTGTGAGCAGTATGCTCAGCCGATGTGCATTAAGACAAGGATTTTAAAATTAAATATTAACAAATCATATAACTTCAAATTAGTTTAAAATTAGTTCAGTCATATAAAATTATTGATAATTTGTAATTTTACCTAATTATTTTGTCTCGAATTAAAAATTTATTTGTAGTTTACAAAAATACAAAAATTATAAAAAAAACTATATTATCTTTATACATATATCCATGTAACTTGCAATAAAGAGGAAATTTTTTGTGGAAAACTCGTGTTTCCAGAGTATCGATTTGATGAAAAAGAAATATTAACCATTTAAAATCCCCTAGTTTACTTTCCTTACTGTGGCTTCTTTTCTTTTCACGCGCAATGTTTACAATAATGTTTTGCTGCTAAAAATATTTGAATTAATTGTAAATTTATCTTTAAATAATGTAATATCTATTAATGATAGCATTTAAATAATTTAAAAAAGCTGGTTCGATGCGAAAATTGTAAGCTTTCGCGAAATGTTGCGGAACTCAAGCTAGGTGACGTTGCCGAATTCCTCTCGAGGTCCAGCAATGATGAAGTTAGACGTTTAATTAAATAATTATTTTTTAGTTTTTCCTCTGCTTTTTTTCAGCAGATATTTATAAAGACATCATTATAAGAATTCATACATATTACTATTTCTCTATTTTCATTGAAAAATAATAATATTATAATGAAGAATATTCTTAGGTTGAATTTCATCATCATCAGAAATGCATGGCAGTAACACAGAAACGTCAGAGCTGAACACGGTAAACAGAAACGAACTTGGAAATCACGATATGCAGGAAAACGACACAGCTCTTTCATCAAATCTAAAACCACTTTGCGTAGTTACTAGCGAAGTGATCCTTTTGAGTTTAAAAATATCATCGTAACAAAATGCTTAATCAAGCAAAATGAGATAATGTAATGTATTGGAGCAATAAATTATAAATATCTGCTAATCGCATAACTTTTTTTTCTATCCTCAGAGGACAATTATTTCATTCGCTTATAGCACTAATAAGTCACTGATATAATTGTTAATACTTTTCGGATTTCGCAACTACACATAGTTCTTTGAATTTGCAGTAGGAGTAATGCGAAAGATGTTAAGAAATTTGCAAGAACGCTAAATAAAAACCGTTATTCGTGTTATTTTTATTTTATTTACTTATTTCATTATTATTATTATTATTAAATGACTGAACTTTGTTTCCCGTTTCTTTCTTTATTTTTTAATTCTTATCCCTTTTCACTTATGCATACGAACGTTACGAATAAACTTATGAATTTATAGTTCAGAAACACAATATATTTTATATTTTTAGCATAAAAATGTAACTTCGAATAAAGGAATATAACTTAAAAATTTTCTAAGGAAACCTCGTGTTTTCAGAGTATATATTTCAGAGTATAATTCGTATAATAGTTATCAAATGAAAAAGAAATATTAACCATTCAAAATCCTTACTTTAAAGAGAGATTATTAGAGATACTGTTAGAGATTATTAGTAATTCTGCGTAACAAATAAAAAAAGTTTTATTCTCATTTTAAATTATACTTTCATTATTCTTAAGAAAACAGGCCCTCTTTTCTTGAACTGCCAACAACGACTAAGGCCAAGACAATGTACTGCGTGCTTACTGTCTTTATATGACTTACTGGATTGAGTTGGGGACGAAGAAGATGATATATAATACAGACACATGATTGATGTTACTCCTGATAATGGCTGATGTACCGCATTATGAATTATTGAAGGGAAATCTGTTGAATCTTTTGTTGTGGCATCAGTCCCTCAGTGACTCACATTAGCTCAACCCGGTTCAGCGTTTTGGTTCAGGGAAACGAAGCTTAAATTTCATACTTATTTTAAAGATGTGAAAATTTTATATGTTGTTTACAATTTTTATGCTATAACGCTATATTTACGGATTAAAATATCTGATTCACCGGTTTCTGAACTATAAATTCATAAGTTTATTCGTAACGTTCGTATGCATAAGTGAAAAGGGATAAGAATTAAAAAATAAAGAAAGAAACGGGAAACAAAGTTCAGTCATTTAATAATAATAATAATAATGAAATAAGTAAATAAAATAAAAATAACACGAATAACGGTTTTTATTTAGCGTTCTTGCAAATTTCTTAACATCTTTCGCATTACTCCTACTGCAAATTCAAAGAACTATGTGTAGTTGCGAAATCCGAAAAGTATTAACAATTATATCAGTGACTTATTAGTGCTATAAGCGAATGAAATAATTGTCCTCTGAGGATAGAAAAAAAGTTATGCGATTAGCAGATATTTATAATTTATTGCTCCAATACATTACATTATCTCATTTTGCTTGATTAAGCATTTTGTTACGATGATATTTTTTTTATATCAAAATGTTTTAAGAATAATCAAACTATGACTATTTTTGTGGTTTACTTTTATACATAAATACTTTTTTTCAAGAAAACGAAAGGGAATTTGGGGCCCACCAGCGGCCGAGCGGTCAAGTCGCTGAACACTGGTAGTTCGGTCCGAGGTTCGAATCCCGCGAACGGGCTGGCTGCATGGGTGTTTTCGTGGTTTTCCCCATGTGTAACGTGCATACGAGCCAGTTTCCCTTAGAAAGTCCTCCACGAAAGGCATCCCTCCCCTTAGGCAGATAGCCCTCGTGTGCTTTGCCATAATTAAATACACCACACCACCGAAAGGGAATTTATTACAGTTTTGTAATTTTCATATTCGTATAATAGTTTAAACGTACGAATATCATTGTGGTTTACTGGTTTACTTTTGCGTATAAATAAATTTTACAAGAAAACAAAAGGAAATTTAATATTTAATACTTTTTATATTTCTCTAGGGATTTGCCCTTACTATTTTTTGCGGTTCTATCAAAATATTCTCCACGATCTAAAGGCAAATATAAATATTTGTAAAGATAAGACTTAGTTTTAAGAACTACTTTTGTTTCAGTTTCATGCAAATATTTATAAAATAGCAGATCTCCTTGAGGCTTTGAGCTCTTATACCACATGTTCTTACACATAAAAATTTATATGAAAAAGGAAATCACTCACCTTAAATTTGGGTCCGGCTTCTGAGGAATGTGAATTTGGAAAGTCAGACCAATGGATTCGACGATTTTATCTGGAAGAAAATGATTATACTTTTTTTTGACATCTACCTTGACTTACCTTGAAAATTTTCTGATAAGAATTTTTTATAATTATTATTTTTCGGCATTTCATAACATATCTTGTTATTCAGTGAAAAATTTAATTCTAGTTTCAAGATTAAAATGAAAAACGGAAACTACAACTCATCCGCAGAAAAGTTCAACTGAAAACAAATATTGAAATGATTTAATGGAATAAATACTTCTTTTAATTTCTAAAGTAAATCAACAATAGAAAAAAAGAGGGGGGAATTTTTAATTTTTTTTCGCTGAGCCTTCGTATTGTAACACTCATTTTAAAATACTTGCTATAAATTTTGTATTACAACAAATATTCAGTTATTTTCACAAATGCATACAGAAAATCCTTTTTATACATATGTACACAATCTTATACTTAACACTTGTTCTCACACATAAAAAAAACATCAGAAAATAGAAAATTACTTACCTGAAATTAGAGTCTGGCTTGATAGGAATGTGGATTTGAAAGGTCAGATAGGAGAGTTCGACGACTTTATCTGGAAGAAAATAATTATATTCTTTGATATCTTCTTTTACTTACCTTCAGTTTTCTTTACAATGTTTTATAATAGATATTTTTAGGCGTTCGATAACCTCTCCTGTTATTTAACAAAAAAATCAATTCATTTCATAGCCCAAAAATTATAACGAAGAAAAAGAAATTAGAACTCAACTGAAGAAACCCTTCAACTGGAAATAAATACTGAAATTACACTCATGTCCATAAATTAAGGATTATTCGGAGTCACGCGGAAATCGAACTCTAAAATAAATATATCACCTGTAAAATCACTACACACATCTTCAAGTATCATATGCAAATTTCAAGAAGTAACCAGATGACACCAATGGTACGTCACAATCACGAGAGTGTAAGAGAGTGATATATAAGGAATACAGGCAAAGAAGTAAAATTATTCGCAGGCGCTTTATAAACATTTCAGTGCAATAACCGAATAGTTATGACACAAAGGACACATTTGGAGGATTTTTTACGTGTTAGAATTATCGGCCGTCTGGAATGTGGGCGTACCCAACTGGAAGTATCAGACGAAGTTGGAATTGCCCAGAGTGTCATCTCCAGGCTTTGGCAACGATTCCAAGATGATGGTAATGTGAGTAGACGTTACAGCACAGGTCGCCCCAGAGTTACAACGCCGCATGAGGACCGGTATTTGGGAGTTATTGCCAAAAGAAACAGGCGGAGCACAGACTCAGACCTGTCTCGTCAGCTCTCTTCAGCCACTGGTACGACAATTTCAAGGCAGACCGTGTACAGACGCTTGGGGCAGATTGGTCTATATGCTCGTAGACCTGTCAGATGCGTTCCACTTACTGCAACTCACTGTCGCCTGCGGTTAGCCTGGAGTAGAGAGCATGCATTGTGGACACCGCAACAGTGGGCTTGTGTGATGTTTTCCGACGAGTCCAGGTTTAGCTTGCAGTCTGATTCTCGCCAGACTTTCATATGGAGAGCTCCAGGTACCCTTTACCACCAAGAAAACATCATAGAACGACACCGTTACGGTGGTGCAGGAGTGCTCGTTTGGGGAGGAATTATTCTGGGTTCCAGAACTGACCTGCATGTTCAAATTGGAACCATGACAAGCCAAATCTATCGGGACAACATGATCATTCTGGAACAACATGTACGTTTGTTTAGGGACGCCATGGGCGCACAGTTTGTGTTTATGGATGAAAACGCTCGTCCTCACCGTGCAAACATCGTAAGCGAATGCCTTCAATCGGAGGATATCACCCGTATGGACTGGCCAGCATTCTCACCGGACTTGAATCCAGTAGAGCACGTGTGGGATATGCTTGGCCGACGAGTTGCAGCCCGTCAACCTCCTCCTACATGTCTACCGGAACTTCGGAGAGCATTGCTTTTTGAGTGGTGTAATATCCCCCAAGATCAGATCGATAATTTGATACTCAGCATGCCTGGGCGTTGTACGGACTGTATTGCATCGTCTGGGAGACATACAATGTATTAACAATCATACCAACCATGTAATATTGGTTTTTTGTAAATAGGTTTTTTTGGTAATTTGCTCCAGAGAGAAAAAAAATCGCTAATTTTTTTAATAATATCAAACATATAGCATCTTTTTTTGCTCTTTACCTTTTGTTTAATAAATAAGCTTTACAAATAAACCAAATATGTTTTCCTTCTAACTCTTCCTTTGCCTGATTTTGCATTATCCTTAATTTATGGACATGAGTGTATTTGATGCAGTTTCCCCAGTCTGTGACCCGCAGACCAGAAGTGGTCTCCAACATCGGTACTTTTATTCTTCCTACTGGATTTCTAAAACAGCAGTTTCAAATGAACCGCATATCGCTGTATGAGCCTGTAGCTGAAAATCTGACAGTCTAGAAATTAAATATGGAAATCGTCTATGTTGTTTTTCCCAAGAATAATATTCTCTGAAATTTAGTATTCCTTAATCTACCGACAATCCTTCTTCGCTAGCCTTAAACAAAAAGAAGATTTAAAGCATTATGACATGTGATCTTACAAGCATGAATTCAAAAACAGAACAGCCATGAACGAGCTGACATGTAAATCCATCTCATTAACTTAAGTACCAACATTTATTTAATTTTTAGTTAATAAGATGAATATTATGCAAACTCTAACTAATAGCCTTGAATGATTAAAAACAAATATATATTTCTTCTATTGACATAATAACTTAGCACCGATACGTAATTTAAAAAATAGAAGTTTACCGCTAGTAATATATCTTAAAAACTTTTTTTCGCAAATGGCAGGAGTAAGGTGGTCCTCAAAATATTCTAATTTACGAAAGTGGTTTCCATTTGAAAAATGTTTACGAAACACTGATTAAATGGAATAAATACTTCTGTAACTTCTAAAGTTAATGAATAATAGTAAAATAAACTAAGAACTTTCAATTTTATTTCTCTGAGCAGACGTATGTTATCACTAATGTTAAAATAATTGCTACAAGGTTTGAATTATAAACTATATTTATTTTTTTATCTATGCGAACTCATAATCCTTTTTATACATATGTACATACACTTATATATTTATATACATAACACACGCGCATGCATATACACACATGTATATGTTATATGCTTAAATTGGCTATATAGAAGTAGTATTTAATTATTAATATTTTGATTTAAAAAAATGCCCAATGCGATATATACATATATCGTATTGGGTGATACGTTCCAGACAAATATACGATATGTTCCAGACAAATATGAAATCATAATTTAAATTTTCATCAGACCACATATAAAATAAGAACAAATGAGATTTAAAACATGAAATTCTTTTAATGTGTGAAACTTGTCCAATAAACGTTCAGGCTTTAAAAATATTTGTTAACATGTTATAAGTTATTATGAAGGATAACTAAGGAAACTGCTTTGAATTTGAAATATTGCACGACAATCTTTACATGTGTTAATCAAATGTAAACTTTGAATTGTTGGACAAATTTTTACCGTTTATCGAAATTTGGAATATGAAAATTTTTAATTAATAGTATTAATTATGAGAGTAGGTTTTATAATAATTTAAGTTATTCTAAATCTAATCAGACTAAATATCTATTTAATGTACTATCGATCTAGTGTCATTAAAAACACTACTCTGCATCCTCGACTCTAAGAAAACTTCCCGATAATGGCAGAATTCGCTTTCCTAAACTTAAGATTTATATTCTGTTGGATATCTACGTAGTTGTTCACAGAAGTTAATCGGAACTGAGTATGAGAAATAAACAAAGTGCGCCAAAAGAGGCTTTGTTGCTAGGCAGTGAAAATTTCTCTACATTGATGTGATAAATGAATTAATTTGCGTCAAAATGTATTGTAATTTTTTAACTTTAAATATTCCAATAAATGTTAAACCGAACTTACAGGGCTTACACAAAGATTTCAGATTTAGTTTTGACAAAAAATGGTTAAAGTTAAATGTTTAAATTTTTGGCAAACCTGCTTGCGACTTAAATTCGTTTTCTTATTAAATGATTAGTCACTATATGTTTAAAAATATAATAAGTACTTTTCTAAAATTACCAGTAACAGTTTTATGAGACTATACCTTCTAAATTTGAAGTTGTTGAACTGCACACTAGAATTTCTCAGCCAAGCGTTAGCATTATTAATCACTAGCGAATATTTTAATATAAAAAATAAAGTCCTATTTGAGCAACTCTTTAGATACATCGACGAATTGTTAGGCAAATAGCTCTTTCATATCAATCCAAAATAGCTGAGGTCTACGTCCGAAAATTGAAAATAAATTTCTGTTCTTTGCTTCAGGAAATCAATATGCGTATTATCATCACATTCTTTTTATTTTATTAATTTAAAAGTTATATATTTGGCATAAACTTTATCTGGGTACTTTCTGAGTATCTGAACAACTAGGGATTTGTTCATCATAAGGTTAAACTTCTTCCTACTACGAACAGTGAATTCATCGTTTGGAGCAGCTCTGTCAATCCTAATAATGCAAGTCTTGTCCTGGCTTCCTTTAGAAAGCTTGTTACAGTTATAGCAACATTCAGTAACATTGTTGCAGATAGTTTTCAGAAACTTATTTTATTCTTTGATCATCCAAGCTGCTTATGCCTGGTTTTCTTTGTTAAAATCAGAGATATAGTCATCAGCGTTCTTGAATGCGGCTAGCACCCAAACTATCCATTTCATGGTCTAATAGAATAAAAAGGATTTAATAACTCAACGTCTCAGTCGTGATAGTGAATCAAGTCTCAAATATCCAAATAGAAAATAATCGAACGTGAGCGGAACCATATTAATGTATGGGTGTTTCGAAATCCCCGTTTGTTTAAGATGTTTAATGGCTTGGAATCTATCTTTTGCCCTTTAACATTATGAAGCAGACACCGTCGGACAATAAAATGAAATTTCACAGAGTTGAATCATCATATTTCTTTTCTAAGCAGTAATGTGTAACGAAAGATAAATGTTTAAACATTTCATCATAATTGTTTATGCATAATAATATCACTCATGCATTCAATTTATTATTATGTTGATAATAAAGTTAAATACATCCTTTTTGTTGTTTTATCGCATACTCGGATGTCTAGTTTAGTACCCCGATTTAATGCATAAACACGATTTAAAGAATTGTATCATTATTCCAGTCTAATCCATTCTGCTTAAATTCGACTGCATTTAAATTTTATAGGTAAAATGCCAGTATATGGTATATATTATGGTATTTTGAAGTAATCTATAAAACAGATTTTATGACAGAATATCGGAAGTCCTGTATTTAGGGATAAATCGTAACACTCTTATTTCTTAAATTAGAAGCTAATCTTTCTCGAAACTCATATATTATTGCACTAAGCTGGGACGTTTTACATTTACAATACCAGTTTGTTTATAAGTCTCTTGGTTATATTCTTAAACGTTATTTAGCTCAGCTGAATAAAGCTTGATGAATTTACTTTTCCCATCTACTCCTTTAAAATAT